TTAGCCTTAAAACGCCAAAAAATGAGGAACTGTCATGGCGAGACTATGACAAATGTTTCTTAGATCGTTTTTGATGGACTGACAAATTTTAAGGGATCCGGGTCCGGTCACCCCGGCCCATGCAGATTGTGTGGGCTATAGAACACGTAAATTTGATAATCGGGTGAAATTCCAATTTTTTGGCTCGAAAACACCAAAAAAAACGAGAAACGATCATGGCGAGGTGATGAATACTGCTCCTTAGGTCTTCTTTTATGGGCCTTCAAAATTTAAAGCGATCTGGGTCCGGTCGCTCGAGCCCATGCAGATAGCGTGGGCTATCGTACATAAGAATATGGGAATCAGGCGGAATTTTAGTTTCATGGTCCTAAAACGCAAAAACAAAAAAAAAAAGAGAAATGGGCATGGCGAGGCGATGGCTACTGTTCTTTAGGTCATTTTTAGGGGCTAAAAATATTATTAGCGATCCGGGTCTGGTCGCTCTGGCCCTTGCAGATGGCATGGGCACGAATGTCTGATAATTGGGTAGAATTTCAGTTGTATGGCCCTAAATTGGCAAAAACCGAGAAACAGTCATGGCGAGGCGATGGCTACTATTTTTAGGTTGTTTTGGATGGGGCGGCAAAACTTTTGTCAATCCGCGTCTGGTAGCCCGAGCCCATGCAGATGACGTGGGAACTATAGCACAAGAAAATCTAGGAGTTAGGCGGAATTCCAGTTTTATGGCCCTAAAATGCCAAAAAAGGAGGAATGGTGATGACGAGGTGATGACTACTATTCCTTAGGTCGTCTTTTATGGGTCGGTAAAATTTTAGATGATCCGGGTCCGGTGGCCCGGTCCCATGTAGATAGCGTAGGCTATTGCACACAAAAATCTGATAATCGAGCAAAATTCCAGTGTTATGGCCCTAAAATACTAAAAACGGGGAACGATCATGGCGAAGTGATGACTATTATTCCTTAGGTCATTTTTTATGGGCCGATAAAATTTTAGGCGAGCCAGGTCAGGTCGCCTTGACTCATGCAGATGGCGCGGGCTATAACACACAAAAATATGGAAATCGGGTGAAATTCCAGTTTTATGGCCAAAAAACGCTAGAAATCGAGGAACGGTCATGGCGAGTTTGCGGGCATCAGAAACGACCTAATGAAAAAAACTCATCGCTTCGCCTAGAGTGTTCCTCATTTTTTGGCGTATTAGGACATTAAAACAGGAATTCAAGACGATTTTTGATTTTTTTGTGTGCTAGCCCACGCCATCTTCATGAACTCAGGTGACCGATTCCAAATCGCCTAAAACTTTGCAGGCCCATCAGAAATGACATAATGAACAATTGTCATCGCCTTGCCGTGACCTTTTCTTGTTTTTTGGTATTTTAGGTCCATAAAACAGGAATTTAGGTCGATATTCAAATTTTCGTGTGCTATAGTCCACACCATCTGCATGAAACCGGACGACGGCCTCCGAACCGCCTAAAATTTTGTGGGATAATAAAAAGCGACCTAATGAACAATACTCATCGCTTCACTTAGACTGTTCTTCATTTTTTGGCATTTTAGGGCCATAAAATAGGAATTCAGGACAATTTTTGATTTTTCGTGTGCTATAGTCCACACCATCTGCATGAACTTGGGCAACCGGCTCCGAATCGCCTAAGATTTTGTTGGCCCATCATAAACGACCTAATGAACAATAATCATGGCTTTGTAGTGACTGTTCCTCATTTTTTATTTTGTAGGGTCATAAAATGGAATTTCAGGATGATTTCTTATTTTTCATGTGCTATAGTCCACGTCACATGTATGAACTCCGGCGACCGGCTTCGAATCGTCTAAAATTTTACGGGCCTATCAGAAATGACCTAATAAAGAATAGTCATTGCTTCACCATGACTGTTCCTCATTTCTGGAATTTTTAGGGCCATAAAACATGAATTCTGGACAATTTCTGAATTTTCGTGTACTATGCCAGCTGCATGAACTAGGGCGACCGGCTCCGAATCGCCTAAAATTTGCAGGCCCATCAGAAATGTCTTAATGAATGATAGTCAGCGCTTCTCCATGACGTTCCTTATTTTTTGGCGTTTCAGGGCCATAAAACAGGAATTCAGCACGATTTCTAATTTTTTGTGTGCTATTATCCACGTCATCTACATGAATTCAGGTGAACGGCTTTGAATTGTCTAAATTTTGCGGGCCCATCAGAAACAACCTAATAAGCAATAGTCATCGCTTTACCATAAATGTTCCTCGTTTTTGGCATTTAAGGGCCATAAAATAAGAATTCAGCACGATTTTCGATTTTTTGTGTTCTATAGTCCACGCCACCTGCATGAACTCGGGCGACCAGCTCCACATTGCCAAAAATTTGCGGGCCCATCAGAAAACGACCTAATGAACACTACTCATCGCTACGCCATGATTGTTCCTCATTTTTCGGCATTTTAGGGCCATAAAAATAGGAATTCGAGATGATTTCTGAATTTTCATGTACTAGTCCATACTATCTGCATGAACTCGGGCAACCGACACTGGATCGCCTTAGATTTTATGGGTCCATCAGAAACGACCTAATCAACAATACTCATCGCTTCGCCTTGACTGTTCCTTGTTTTTGACGATTTAGGGCCATAAAACAGGAATTCAGCACAATTTTTGATTTTTCATGTGCTATAGTCCACGCTATCTACATAAATTTGGGAGAGCAGCTCCGAATTGCCTAAAATGTTGCGGGCTCATCAGAAATGGCCTAATGAACAATACTCATCGCTTCGCCTCGACCGTCCCTCGTATTTTGGCATTTTAGGGCCATAAAACAGGATTCAGCACGACTTCTGAATTTTGTGTGCTATACTCCATGCTATCTGCATAAACTCGGGCGACTAGCTCCTAATCGCCTAAAATGTTGCGAGACCATCAGACACGTAATGAACAATACTCATCGCTTCGCCTTGACCGTTCATCATTTTTTGATGTTTTAGGGTCATAAAATAGGAATTTAGGACGATTTCTGATTTTTCGTATGGCATAGTCCACACCATCTGCATGAACTCGGGCGAACGGCTCTGAATCGCCTAAAATTTTGCTGGCCCATCAGAAACGACCTAATGAACAATAGTCATTGCTTTGCCATGACCGTTTTTTTGGTGTTTTAGGGCCATAAAACAGGAATTCAGGACGATTTCCGAATTTTCATGTGCTATAGTCCATGCCATCTGCATGAACTCGGGCGATCGTCTCCAAATTGCCTAATGTTTTGTTGTCCCTTCATAAACGACCTAATGAAGAATAGTTATCGCTTCGTAATGACTGTTACTCATTTTTGGCGTTTTAGGGCCATAAACAGGAATTTATAGTGATTTTCACAATTTTCGTGTGCTATAGTCCACGCCATCTGCATGAACTTTGGAGACCGGCTCTGAATCACCTAAAATTTTGCGGGCCCATAAAAAATAGCCTAATGAAAATAGTCATCGCTTCGCCTTGACAGTTCCTCATTTTTTGACGTTTTAGGGCCATAAAATAAGAATTCAGCATGATTTCGATTTTACGTGTGCTATAGTCTACGCCATTTGCATGAACTCGGGCGACCTGCTCCGAATAAACTAAAATTTTGCGGGCCCATCAGAAACGACCTAATGAACTATCGCTTCGCCACGACCGTTCCTCGTTTTTTGGCATTTTAAGGCCATAAAACAGGAATACAAGATGATTTTCGAATTTTGGTGTGCTATAATCCATGCCATCTGTATGAACTCGGGCTACCGGCTCCTAATCGCCTAAAATTTTGTGGGGCCATCAGAAACTACTTAATGAAAAATAATCATCGCTTCGTCATGACTGTTCCTCGTGTTTGGTGTTTTAGGGCCATGAAACAGGAATTCAAGACGATTTCCAATTTTTCATGTGCTTATGTCCACGCCTTCTTCATGAATTCGGGTGACGGGCTCAGAATCCCCTAAAATTTTGTGGGCCCATAAAAAATGACTAAATGAACAATAGTCATTGCTTCGCCATGATTGTTCCTCATTTTTTGGCGTTTTAAGACCATAAGATAGGAATTCATGATGATCTCCAAATTTTCGTATGCTAATGTCCACGCCATCTACATGAATTCGGGCGACGGGCTTCGAATCACCTAAACTTTTGTTGTCCCGTCAACGACTTAATGAACAGTAATCATTGTTTCGCCAAGACCGTTCCTCGTCTTTTGGCATTTTAGGGCCATAAAATAGGAATTCAGGACGATTTTTAATTTTTCATGTGTTGATGTCCACGACATCTTCATGAATTCAGGCAACCGGCTCCGAATCGCCTAAAATTTTATGGGTCATAAAAAACAACCTAATGAACAATAGTCTTAGCTTCGTTTTTTGACTTTTTAGGGTTATAAAACAGGAATTCAAGGTTATTTCCAACTTTTCGTGTGTTGATATCCATGTCATCTTCATAAATTTGAGCAACGAGTTCCGAATTGCCTAAAATTTTGTGGGGCTTTAAGTGGTCGCGATTAGCGCAGGTAGATTTCAAGTGGTCGTGCTAGGCGCGAGTTGGTTCGAAGTGGCAGTTCTCGGCGCGGTTAGGTTCCAAGTGGTCGTGCTATGCTCAGATAGGTTCCAAGTGGCAGTGCTTAGCTCGGTAGCTTCTTAATGACCGTGCTAGATGTGGGTAAATTCCAAATAGTTTTACTAGGCATGGATAGATTTCAAATGGCAATTGTAGGCGCGGTTAGGTTCAAGGTGGTCGTGCTAGGCTCAGGTAGGTTTCGAGTGCCGGTGCAAGGCGAGGTTAAGAAACTAACACAACAACAAAAAGGGGGAAATACATAGTTATCAAAGTTTATCAAGGTGTACGCAAGCTGGCATGGACACCACGATTGTCAATCATATAGGTAGACTCATCTTATCATCTGCCAGATATGAATTTAAAGAGTAACAATGCTATAATACATGACTAGCCAAGCAAGCGAATTCTGGGAATGCAACAAGTGACAAGGTTGGTAATACAATCAGCTCCTATATCAACTTTCTTCTTCTTTATTTGAATAAGTAATCAGCTCCAATATCAACTATTACAAGGTAAATAATAACTTTCAGTCTAACTGCTCCTTAATCTCAAACTATTCTGCCAAACAAAATTGACTGCAACATCGGAGGTACCATAATCTAGTAATTCTAGTTACTGCAATATCAAAAGACTGTAAAAGTTAGTGGAACTTTTCAAGGGTTAAATGTGAAAAAAGCGAACTGCTCGACAATTCATCTTTCATCAAAACCAGTATCCATATATCTACTCATCATAGGCTACAACTTTTATCCTTCAAAATTGGAATGCCAGATGTTGCTGCATGGTAGCCATTGGATGTGATACATCAAAAATGAGGCAGATTATGGTGAATCAGACAACAAGAAAGTTCAGCTTTAAGTTAATGAAATGTTACCAGACATCTCAGGTGAACGGATAGAAATTAGAGAAAAGCAAACTGCCGAGCAATATGTAAGCTGCACAATATGTCCAAATAATGTATCCCCATCTCTTGCTAAGACAATGAGATGCCATGACATATGAGCCAAACCAGTAGAGAGGAGGGCTGGCAGACAAGAATCGAGTTGAAACCTGTCGAAATGGTTGGAAGAGAGTCAGATTCAGTTCAATATTAGTTATCCATCCATTTAATACCGAAAGCTAGATAAATATACTCCTAGAAATGACCGTCACTTCAGAAGAGGGAAAGAGGTCAGCTGACCTGTACGTGCATGACAAAAAAAGCTGTTGCGGCCATGAACACAAGATGTAGAATGAAGGGGACAATAGTAACTGGTTTAAATCCTGGATTCTCTGTTGCTTCATCTTCTGATGGCTGTATCACATAGTTCTCTTCTCCCACAGCTGGTTTCCGCCTTCTAAGAGAGTTGCCTATCACAAGTAAAAAATGAGCATTATCTTCACGTTTCAATACAAAATTCTGAAATCAAGTCCCATAGGAATGTGATGAAACATACTGCCAATCACTTTTATATGAGGAAGAGAAGCAGTCATATTAATTCACAGATAACAATGGACATGACATCACAAAGTGCATCAAGATGAACAAGGAGATCCACAGATAACGGATCAAAGCTTAGAAATTCAACTGGGAAGCAAACATTTGAAAGAAGGCATGGCTACAAGTGTGGGCAAGTAAAACTGAACTCTATCCATAAATGCACGACATTCAAAAAAGCAATCATAAACAATGTACCATTTTCCTCTTACCAACTAGCAAATTAAGCAGTGGCCATGTGGCCATGTGGTAGACTGGGAAAATGATGACAAATCTTCAGTTATAACAGAAACACCAAAACCTGCCTTTCATACATGATAAAAGCATACAACAACAACAACATACCCAGTATTATCCCACATCATGGGGTCTGGGGAGGGTAGTGTGTACACGGACCTTACCCTTACCTTGTGACATGATAAAAGCATACATCTTTTGGAAAATGATTCAAAATGCCAATTCGTGTATCAAGCTATACCTTGCCCAGCATCAGATCTGTTTTCCACTGGAAAGCCAACACTCTTGGGTCCTGCACTTCTCTCTAGAGGAATGGATGAAGCAGCAAGTTCTTTATTTGGAGAGGATACCCGAAACCCAAGTGAGACAAAAACCTCAGGCCACAACTTCACATAATGTATGATTGTGCAAAATGCAAGAGATAATATTGGGGACGCAAGAACAAAGTTTGGAATTTGTTTTACTTGAAAATACCTCAAGAAACCCACTCCCCTGAGACAGAAGAAACATCAAAGTCAGCCTCTCTTCTTGGCAGCAATCAATACGGGGTTTAGATGAGGATACTGGCGTTCTCCCAAAAGCTAGTCTCTTTATTTTACTTTTTTTCTTTTTTTGTGTCAAAATCTCAAAAAAAATGCCTGAGAATGCAATCAACAATGAAGCCTTGTTATCTAGGGATCACAAATCAGTCAAAACACCAATGTGCCTTTACATGAACTTTTGTGACTAAGATCTGGCAACACAATGTGGAAAATGGTAAAGTTACAACATAGGGAGGTGATCACGTAGCAATTGATCACCCATGAGAAATATCCCTTTCTAGAGAGATGTTCATTGATCTGGTCGTAGGGCCCACCAGATCCCCAACCCAAGTGGCATCCCACTTCAAATAGATTGCAAAAAGTTCAAATTGAAATAATACCTAAACAATTTCTGCACAAAAAATTAACAAAAAAGGGAAAGATTACAAAAGAATTGATATAAATTGGTAAAAGCGGGAGATTTGACTGTGATGGAAAGATCAAGGTAGTTTTTAAAGTTAGTCTGTCTTAAGGATCTTTCAAGTTATTAGTAGAAAATATAGGGGCAAAGATGAGTATAGACCTTGAGGAGAGGAGAGGACAAAATTATTAATCTAGGGTATTGGGACTGTCTAGAAGTATAATTGAAAATTCTTCTGGTATTAGTCTGAAAAAGAAAACAATCACACGCCCAGCGTTTCAGCACATAAGATAAAACTACAATCTAATATCTACCAAGTCAAATTTTATGCTGAAGGGGCAAATGAGAGTTTCAAAAGGTAGAAAAGATATCAACATACCAATAATGACTTTGAATATAGTTGTAGAGTAAAGGAAGTCTTGCCTTGCACCAAGGCCTCATTTCATCTGAAGTCCCTCCCACACACATGTTGAAGTACCCATAGACTTGAAAAGCAATAAAGGGGAAAACGATAAACAAGCTACGCAAAGCCCCAGAAATAAGAACCAGCAAGGCTGCCTGGCAACAAGTGGAGGATTTAATCTGAGTAATCTAAAAAGACTAAACATTCTCTTCAGCTATACACAATATTTGTAAAATTCTGAAAATCATGGACGCTCAAACAGTTTAATAGTTCATAAACATGAAAACTAAGAAGAAATGATAACTCAAGCCACTGAAAGTTAACATACTCCCTTAGTCCCAATGTGTCTTTATCTATATTGGGAAGTCTGGAAACGTTAAAAGATTCTAATTTGATAAATTAATTTATACAACTCTCGCAAATGTGAAGAATCTATGTTCTTTTAACTAATCAAATTTAAACCGGGTTTCTACCAAACTAACTGTTTTCTTTCATTAAAGAATACCCATATAATATAAAAGTCAGACTAACAACTAAAACACCCATCTCCAGTTAAATAGTCTCAGAAAGTATGGCAAGGAGGTAGTTCTATAAGGAGCATGAGACTCCATAACAAATTTGCTCAACCACCATAAAAGTTTACAAAAATGAGATATAACAAGCATATTGGTGATAAGACAATTCAGAGCAAAAGAAGAAAACTAATTTATGAGAAGGAGAGGAATAGGACATGCGAGGCTTTTGAGTTTAGACCAATTTGAGGGAGATAAAGGGAGATATAAAGTGGGCGAAAACTTTTCTATACCATTAATTTTTTGGAATGTGGACCTTTTCTACAGTAATTTTTTTATTGTAATGCAAAAGCATGTAGATAACAAGGTGTAGATCTCAATATTAATTTCTTTCCTTTTTGTCCTTTGGCCAATAAAAAGTGCAAATTTGATATGCCTTACTCACCTCTCTGCAATGTTTTTATCTCGGATGCCTCCAGGTCTCAGAGTTTGACCGTCTTGAGGTTAGACTAATAATAGTAACTACTTAAGAAACATGGCTCGGAAAGCCTGATAGGCTCATCTTGTTTTCTTTCAAAGATAATCCATTAAGCAAACCAACCCCTCTTAAGCCATCAGCCATGAGTATATTTCATTACCACCCATGGCACACTAGGTTTAATGGCACTCCCTGCAGCTCCTTGGAAAGCAGTGTGCCAACTATGGTTCCGCGAACTCACAGTAAAGTCATGCAGCTCAGTTTAGTATCCTCTCGCACTTCTTAATATAGTGAGATTCAATTTAAGAACAATCATAACATATTAGGCACTGATCCAGAAAGAAAAATGCATCAGTGAAAGGAAGAACAGAAACACAGCAAAACTTACACAAGCATGCTTCCTAACAAAAGCTGCTTCATAGGACCTATGCATTGTCTGGAAACAAATATAGCCAGCATTAAGCACTCCATTCGACCTTGCAAATCCAGAGAGAGCAAGCCAAAGGGTTGCAAAGTTATTTAAACCCCTCATGAGGAAATACAATCCTCCAATGGAACACAGGGCATACATACTCTCAGTATATCTGTTAACACGAAGCACAGAACATACTCATATGCAAGTCCTCGTAATATGAGGTCAACGCAAGGCAAGGCAAGGTAAGGAAGAAAAAATTACATTGATGAGTAAAATATGGAAGCGGGATTAAGGCAAAACAATATAGAAGCTCTCAATGCCACCTCCGAGTCCTTCAAGATGATAACTGAGAGCCTGTGAACCAATAACATATATACAATAAGCAGATTAGGATAAAGGAAATAAGTTCCTTCACAAATGTCCAAAGACAATGCAAATCCAAAGAATTATGTGAGCATGTATACGACAAATCATAATGAATATGTATGTATCACTTCTGTAGTATGTGTGAACTGAGTGAAGAATGAATCTCCAAAAGATGACTCTTGGTATCATAAGCTAAATCTTCTCACACCCGGATAAGCTGTTGTCAAGGACCAGTATCAGGGGAGCACTGTGTTGAATTTTCAACAGACATGCTACTAAAGTTGAGCCAAAGACAGCCGTTACGAAGAAAACCCACAAAACTGATTCAACCACAGATCTGACAATGCATAAAACCACAATAGAAGCATGAGATTGCCCTATTTTTGTGCAAATTCTAGAAAATGGATCCCACATTTACCTTTTGTAGGAAATGGATCCCGCATTTACCTTTTGATTACGAAAACAAGTCTAAATGTGTGACCAGATGGTTGTTACCAGCAAATACTAATCCTCCCAAAGAAATGGGAATTGGGTCTTGTAATCCCCCGAAAAGAGACAATAAGGATTCAGGACCTTTTTTTTACTTGAAAGATAAGTAACATACTAAGTATTTAACACTAACATTTCCAAATGCTTTTGCTTTACAAATTAGAAGTAACTTAAGTTCAAAAACTAACTCCACTCAACATAGATCATTTATGTGTAGTTTTGTAGTATTAAACCTCATGATTACTCTCACCGTCAATCATCTGTTCCCATTCCTAAATTAGTTGAGATGTTGTGGCATTGAATGCCTCTACAGATCAGAAAAAGTCAAAAAAGGAGAATATTTTCAAAGAGAAGTAGTACTTACTCAAAATAAATGAGCAAAGCTGCAAGTTTCTTAGACATGTTTAAATCCCTTAAAACCATAATGGATTATAAAGCTTATAAAAAGAGCAAACTTTATTAACATGTATATGTGTTTACTTAGCATCTATTAATTGAACAGCTAAACAAGAAACTATCCAGCATAGGACATTACCTGTAAAGATAAAATGCAGCCAAAACAAAAGCGAAGTTATTAAGCACATAGCCAGACAGCCCGAGAACAGCTCTTTGTCCGATAAAAGGTATCAATGGGGCAAATACTGCAAAAACAAACATTACATAACTTCATCAATCTAAAAAATTTAAGAAGAAAAAGAATGGTCACTTTTCCCCAAAAACGAGAAAATGAAAAGTACCTGTACGATGAGCATCATTCTTATAGAGCAAGATACATTTTTTGAAGTATGACATGTAACAGATCAGGGATTTCACGTTTATCTACATCTATTCTATAAAATGACAAATCCTGGGCTTCCACAGTCTCTCATACATACTGTCGACATGCAACAGAACAGTTATTTCGCGTTTATCTATATCTAAACTCAGAGACGGATCCAAGATTTTAACTCTATGGGTTCAACCTTTTAAGGTTCTTTTTTTTTTTTAAAGAAAGATTCAATCTTTAAGGTTCTTAGCATTGAACCCATCATATTTTTATTAATGGTTTCATATCTATTATTTGTTGTAACTTTAGTGAATTTTACACATAAGTTTATGCTCCGCGTCGAAAGTACTGGGTTCAGATAAAGCCGGTACTCCTATACAAAATCCGCCCCTATCTATACTACAAAATGCCAAACCTGTATTTCCCATAGTCACTCTTAGAGCCAGTTTGGGAGTGCGGCTGCTTTTCAGGAAGTACTTTTTTAAGTGCTTCAAAAAATGTAATTTTTAATAGTTCTATTAAGTACTTCAATAAGTATTAGGTGCAATTAGCTTATGAAGCATCTAAAGTTTTTGCTTTCGCAAAAAACCCATAAGTACACATTTTTTATGCTTCAATTTGATAACAAATGCAAATTGCATTTTGGAACAACCCCTAAAATTTAAGTCCAAAAGCTCCTAATTATGTCATTGGCAACTTCTATTTAACACAAAACAATTTAATACTCCATTTTTGTACGATGAAAATGCGTACATGCATAGAATATGTAATTATTAATCCACAAAATAGCGCCATAAAATTCAAATAAATAAGAAAGAAGATAACCTGTTCGCGAAAGCAAAGAAATGCAAATCGGAAGCAAAGGCAAAAAAGCATATGTCTGTTCATATTCATATCCACACTGCGCGATTCGAACGAAGTACACACTATCCCAAACAATGCTATCCTCAATCGCCGATGCTAATCGCGGGAAGTACACCGTATCCGAACCGGACTCCGAACCGGAGAGGCAGCTAGGATTTATCGAAGCGGAGGTGTCGTAAGGGCTGAGCAGTGATCGCCAGAGAAGTATTAAGGAGACTAAAATGAGTCTAGAAACTACGGCGTATTTGAGAACGAGGTGAGTGTGGTGGTGGTTGAGATCGCCGGAGGATTTCCCGGTCATTTTCCCGGCGGTTATCGGCAGCGTTGTTCGTCGGAGAATTTAGGACACCAAATTTTGTAACACTAAGAAAGGAAAAAGATAAAAGTAATTAGTATAGTAAATTGTTATTAGTAGTACAAATCATGTCACATTGTGACGTAGATTGTTGAGTCATGTGCAAATAACCTTAAAATATAAATATTTCAGATAAAAGTTATATAATATTAGATATTAATTATAAAGCAGGATATAAAATTATTATTCAAATCTCGTAGTAGATAATTTTTTTTTTATTTGTAGTAACCTAACCCCTTGATTTTAGTACTTGCATTTCATTTCGGTGTCAGTATTAAAAAAATACTAAATATGTCATGTTGTGATCTATCTTGTTTGAGCATATTACATCATATTATTTTAACAAAATTCTTACTATCTACTTTGTTTTTGTACCGTAAAGTCTAAATATGTCTTATTCTATC